TATGAGTACGACGTGCTGGTCAAGGAGACTGAGGCGGTGGTCCCCACGAAGAGGCATTTGTTGGCGCCGGGCACGGAGCTGGTTCCGGGGAAGATGGTCTGTTGCAAGAAAGGGGGCACAGGGGCTAAGAGATCGAGGGCGGTGATCTGCGGCAACCTGGCTTCGGAGCAAGCTGATCCACCTCCTGGAGGTTTGCCTGGTGGCTCCTACGCAAGTGGGGCGGATGGGGTGCTCATTCGGGCATCGCTGTTGGAGGCCAGTCAACGTCGTTGGGAGATCACTTCGTTGGACGTGAAGTCCGCGTTTCTGCAAGCTCCTCGACCACATCAACCAGGTGGCAAGCCCGTGGCAGTTCAGCCGCCGAAGGTGATGGTGGACCTGGGGGTCTGTGAACCGGATGAGGTCTGGCTCATCCGAAAAGCACTCTACGGGTTCAATACGAGTCCATCGTATTGGGCGATCTACAGGGATCAGGTCCTGGAGGAGTTGGCGTGGGAGGACAACCACGTCGCCTACCACCTGATCCAGACCAAGGAGCGCAACTTGTGGCGTATCGTGGAGAAGGAGACGCAGGTGGTCAGAGGCCTTCTCTTGGTGTACGTCGACGACCTCCTCGTGATGGGAGATGCAGTGGCACGACCTGGTCTTCTTAAGTGCATCCAGTCCCGGTGGAAAACGTCCACGCCCGAGACGGTGGATGACCAGGGTTGGGTGAGGTTTTGTGGGTACGAGCTCAAAAGCCATGAAGGAGGTTTGTTGTTAGGTCAACCCTCCTACCTGGGTGAGTTGCTGCAGAGGCACAACATCGTGGACAAGAAGACGGTTCCGCTGCCAAAGGACGCTGTACCTCCTCCAGAGGTGGAAGAAGGGGTGACGGCGGAGGAGATCAAGAAGGCGCAGGGCATTGTGGGGGAGATCCTGTGGGTGGCTATTCGCAGTCGGCCTGACTTGTCCTATGCCATCAGCGCTATGGGAAAAGAGGTCACAAAACGGCCGAGATGGGTGCTTCGGGTGGGACAACATGTTCTGGAGTACTTGAATGGCACGATGGACTACTTCCTGCACTATGTTCCCTGTGGACCTGGTGATCGTGGACCTCATGGCGATCTTCCTCTGGAGCGCTCTACATCGTTGGTGGAGCTCTTCAGCGACATTTCGTATGCCCCGCAAGGGGAGAAAAGTGTGCAAGGCATCGTGGCGATGATTGCGGGCGCTACGGTGCAGTGGGAAACTTCCAGGCAATCGTGCCTGGCATTGTCAACGGCGGAAGCGGAGCTGTACTCCTACGTGGAGGCCTTAACTATGGGGGATTCGCTGCAGGCGCTGTGGACGGAGGTGCATGGAGAGACGCCGGAGATCGTCACCTATGGCGACAGTCAGGCTGCCATCTCCATCGTGCGCAATCCGGATGGTCCATGGCGTACCAGACACCTTCGACTCCGAGCTAACGTGCTTCGAGAACGAGCTCAACAGGGGCGATGGAAGATCTTCCACATGGCGGGCACGCAGCTGATCGACCAAGAGCATCACGGTTCGAGCTTCCTGGGACCGCTTCCGGGCGTTCACCAACCTCCTGAAGGTCGAGAACCTGGGTGGGGTGGCTGCGGATGATGGTGAGGGTTCGCAGGACGCGGTGGAATCCATGGTGCGGGTGGCGAAGCTTGCTGCATGTTTGGCTGGGTGCGCGGCGATGACCTGGCCTTCCTACACTGCAAAGGCGGCGGTGGCAGCGGCGCTTGCGATTGGGCTGGCCTATGAAGTGAGCCGGGGTTTTAGCAAGGGTTTTTGGACGAGGGACCAAGATCCGGGGGAGTGTTCAACCATGTCAGATAGGGAAATTCAACAAGAATTGAGATCTACTGAACACCCGACCCGGTTGCAACCTCGTTTGTGTGCCCTGCGGCCTTCGCCGGCAAGGGAAGAACAAGACCAACAGGGGTCAGAACAACGGACCGGTCAAGAAAACATAAGAAATGTCCAAGAGGCCAGAACCTCATCGGCGTCGGGCCGCACGCCACCTCCAGGAGAACGTGTCTCGGAAACTGAAGGCCCTGGGGGTTTAGACCGTAGCCTAGAGGCTCCCAACTCCACTGTGTTTGAGGTGGAGGCGGCGAACGCGAGCCATGGCGTGTGGGGTCGCATCCAGATGAGGCTGCCTGCTGTCTTCCGAGGTGGACGCGAATGGCTGGGAGGAGATGCAGGGCAGCCGGAAGAGGTGCACTACACGAATAGCAGAGTGACGCAAGAGGCTATGGACGAGGGCACCTACGACGTGACAAGACCGCCGATGGTGGTCACCATCCGGATGTTGCGGCCTGAAGAGGTGGACACGGAGACCCAGACGATTCGCCTCATCCCAAATGAACGGCTGGTAGTGAAATCCCCGCCACCTGCCAAGAGGCCTCCGGTGCCCCCTCCTAAACAACCTCCTGTACCCGTTCAACCGCGGGGCTATGGGGGGGCTACATCGAGTGGTTCTTCAAGGCCGAGTGAAGCTGCTGAGCAAGGACAAGCGGCGATGGCATCTTCAAAGGCGATGGGTACCGCTATGGGGTACACCTCAAAGGCTGCGGGAACTGTTCTCCAAGGGGTTTCCAAGTCGGCAGCGGCGGCGAGGAGTTCGAGCTCTACGGGACCTCCTACGCTGGAGCGAATGCGGCAGCCGGCAACTGACAGGCCGTGGAACAGGCCTGGTAAGGCTCCACCGGCGCAGCTTTTGATGCCGGTTGGGGGCATGATGGATGATCAGTTGGAGTTCCAAAGCTCGGTGTTTTGGACGCCTGAGATCCTGAATGACATTCAGGATTTGATTGAGGAGGAAGCGTTGTTCTACAAGCCAACGCTCAAGAGTGATCGATGGGATCACTTGACCATGGATGGCTGCAGATGGTTGGTCCGCTACCATGGAAGTGCGCGGGTGCAGAGGTTTCATCCTGAACATCGCAGCTGTCCTGAGGAGATTGATGACTTGGAGTTCATGAGAGTCACCGTCGCTTGGAAGGGCAGTGAATGGCATCGAAGAGTGGTCGTGGACTGCGATTGGCGACGAGCAGAACTGAGCGGGCCGGGAACATGGGTAGGCTTTTCGCTCTTCCTCATGCGAGAGGGCATGAGGCGACTTTGATGCGACGTCCGAAGGCGGACGGGGGGAGTGCGGATCTTGAAACAGGACGCACAAAACGAGAAGTGTACAACTAGGTACACAAGACCACAGGCCGAAACGCCTGCGTGTTTGGCTCAAGAAAACAAAGACCGCTTTCTGTGAAGCATGATATGAATTGTTTATATAGTGGGTGGGAATTATGCGCAAACTTGGAGCCCTGAGAGAAAACAGTGCTTTGTTTTCATCTATTGTTCAGCAATGTTTCCCTTCAAGATCCTTACGAAGAGGACTACTACGACAATGGTAGTTTTGTTGGGCTGGAGCTATCCAAATGTTTGCTAGAAGGAGTATACGGTCTACCGTCTACCGTTTGAGTTCCAACATTATGGGGGAAAGACATTTCTCCTTTCACCTGGCCTAAGTCAAATTTTTGTGAAGACCAGATATGAGGGCCAACAAAAGAGCAGCCTGTTGATGATTTTCACCGCAAGTTTCCATGGTTGATTTCTTCTTGGGCAAAGTTCTAAAAGTTCGACCGTTGTGGCATCTTGTGGCACTTCTCCATCTTGAAAAGCTTTGAGCGATGCGCTTTTCATGTCAATTTTCAGTCGCAGATCGCTGCCGACAGGGCCGTGGAGTTTTAGTTAGGCCCGCACCGCACAAGTTCGGGGCTAATCAGGCGAATCCGAGATCGCTCATCCGACGCTGGGGAAAATGCGAGTTCGGGTGGCTGAGATGGTGCAGGTTTACATTTAGTTTGATGGCAAATCCGTTCCGTTTTGTTGTGTTTTTTTTTCTTTTCTGAGCCGATGGCTCCCGTCCAATGCTGCTCATGCATTTGATTCAAGTGGGAGATGACGATCCCTACACTTGATCTACGCTGTGTGTTGCCGAATTGCGTTGCCGATCCAGGCGAGGCCGTGGCTTACAAGAGGGATGAACTAATATGAACTAATACTGTAGCATGAATTGGTGTCGGAGTTCTACACTGAGAAAAGAGATCCCGGGGATTGGCGTCAAAGTTTGCATAAACACATGTTTGTGTACTATTCTTGGCTGCTTGGTTCTCATCGGGGCAAGGAACTTGGCACCACCCACTATCTCCTGGGCCACTTGTTCAGGCTGCTAAAGCACGCTACCAGCACATGCTCCAAAGTCAGATGGGCGGCCACATCGCTTGCGCATTTGAGGAGAAATATTTGGTGCGAGCGGAACAGCTCGGCAAGGCAGCTTGTGCAGTCTGCTAGCAGAGTTCTAAGAACCCAATCCTGCAATCGCCTGCGGTGAAGTCACGAGGAAGGACGGTGTTCTTTTCCTTCGAGTCTTGCGATTCAGAACGAAACCAAACCAAACCCCAAAAAAGTCATCAGTCCAAAGCCTACCAAAGACCACGTGGAGTTTGCATGCTCCTTGGCCAACTGCGTGGCTCAAAGAGATGAAGCATGCCAATTGAGGCTCCATGGTGGCCCCCCAACGCTCCATGGTCACGCATGACGATGGGACGGTGTTGCACTACTTGCGTTTTGGGGAGGAGACCGGACGAAGCACGAGACGTCAATGGGATCAGATCATGAACATTCTACAACCATTCGCACCGGTTCTGGAATGAAGTCTGCCTGCGCGTTGTTCTCATTTGACCTGGAAGGGGAACAGTATGGTGACTATGGTCCCACCTCTCATGTCTTCACACAGATTGCTGCAAGGACTAGTGACTAGTGTCGACAGGCCTTTTGCTATGGCATTTCATTGAGCTGAGGAACCGTCATTACAACATAAAAGACTAGATCCATATGCGCATAAAGATAATAAAGATAAAGATTGTTCAAACTTTTCATCTGGCTTGGGCCAACGGCTTGGGAGAGGATTTTAAGTCTATAGTATTCATTTTAAGGATATTCTTGGAGTGTTCGCGGAACCCTTCTTCTCTCGACGCTTCATGCGCTTCGCCACGCGGTCGCGACCGCGAGCCGCGCCCCCCGCGCGGCCGCTTCGCCGCGCCCGCGAGCAGCGACGAGCGGGGTATGGAGCTGCGAGGCTGAAAAGGAGTCCTCAAGTAGATGATCCCCTTTGATGGACCTTTTAACATGTATCCGGAAAGTGTCTATTATCCGTTTCAAAGTAATGTCAACTAGTTCCATGAAACAGACCACAGGACAGTTTCTTCTTTGAAGGATGGGGGTTTACAGATTGCAATGATCTTTGATTGACCCCATTGGATTCACAGCTCTTCGGCAGCAAAGGTGCTTTTACTTTGCTTCCTTTTTGCTTGGCCGCCGGCCACCGTGGTTGATGAAGTGGAGCTGGACTCGCTGGAGCCAGAGCTCCCAGTGGCTGGCCCTTCAAGCATCTTGGGAGAAAATGGTGGGATGAACCTGATAGACCGTGATAAAACCAGCTAGGTAGTTAACAGGTCACCATTGGAATCAGCACAACCCCTCAAGACCAAGAGCTTAAAGGCTTAGACACTTAGATTCGGGCTTTCTGTAATTGTTTGCAAGGTAGGCGTGCACTGAGGGTTGTACAAGAGTGCGAATGTGCCAAGGCATAGAACCTTTGGACGGCTGGCTGCCTTCAAACCAACTATGATCCGGCTTTCATGCTTGGCTTTCATGCCAGGAGCCCCTAGTAGCGTCCTTGCTCCTACTAGTAGTAGCGATGCCCTTGTTCCTAGTAGCTTCTTGTTCCTAGTACTAAGGCCAGGCCTAGTAGCGTCCCATGCTTGGTTTTCATGTTTTTTTCTTTTCTCACCTGCATCTCCACACGTTCGCACTTTTTTCCTCCACCAACTCTAACGAAGACCAGAGGTTGCGCAGCAACGGTTGAACCCTCAACATCTTTCGTGCACAGCCCGTGCTCACGCTTTGCCGGGCTCAGACCTAAACCGAGCTGGCACGTGGCACTCAGGTCACGAGACCTTGCCCGAAGAGGTGGTGCCGTTGCGCTATGACTTGCAGCTGACCTTGGATCCTGAGAGGCCGGCCCACCGAGATGCTCCCGCGGGCTCCCGCATCTCGATCACAGGGAACTGGCCTGAGCTTCTGTAGGACTGTAGGGGGGCTTGTCCATCGGATGGGCATTCGTGAAGGAAATCGCTTGGAAGTCCCACGAATCGGTGGGTGATCTGGCCCAAAGCGGCGAAGCGAAGGTCCACGACCTTTGAGGGCCACGTGAGCATCCATCTCAACATCACCAGGGAGACCTCCAGCATCATGTTCAATGCTTCTTGGTGCGATGGTTATGTGGAACTGGTCGCTCATGAGCATGTTTGTCGGGTGAGAACTCCTTTAAGAGTCACGGGCTTTCAGGGAACACTGCAGAAAACAGATGGGACTTGCCATATTTTCTGGCCAGTGGGCATTGTACGAGAAGGGTGGTGCACAAGACTGCGCTGGCATGGAGGCGCAGAGTGCTGCCAATGACGCTGCCTTGTTTCGTTTTGCTCCTGCTAAGAGATGATGAGTTTGGGGATTCCAGAGCCTGCCGACCTGACGCAAAGGAAGACAGAAGCTCCGCCTGCACCAACATGCTGAGGCTCGGAATTTGGTGCTGGAGTCCATCGTATTATTCCAAGCCATCGAGCAGCTGCAACCAGCGGAGGTCTTGAAGGACGCTGGATGGGAGCGGGTGCCTTGAAAGGCAGCGAGCGGAGAGTCATGGAGCGGGCTCTTGACAAAGGGATGGTTGCACCCCCTCCCGCTACCCCATCATCTCAAGAGATGGATTCTGATGTCATACTGGAGGAGGGCCATGATATTTCTGCCTGCACTCAGGCCGTGCATGTCAAACAGGCAGCAGACTTCCAAAAACAACAACGATGGACTGAACATCGGCCCTGGGTGGGCATTGAACTCGGCCCCTGGAGATCGCAGACTTTGGACTGTGGGTTTTGGGCAGCTGTTGCTGAGGGAACCTGAGAGATTTCGTGCAACTGGCACGAAATCTGCCATATCACTTTGTAATGGAGGGCTTTTCATAAGCAAAACTTCCAGCTTTTTCGGGGCTCGCTCGCTGTCACTCCTGTCAAAACTTGGTGCATTTGGCAAGACACATACCGATACCCCTGGTTTGGCTTAAGATGATTTGTTATGTTCCTTATGGTTAAATCCCCTTCTGGTTTTTTCTTGTTCCAGTTCCTGAAGCAAAAATCCAAGTACCAAAATATAAGTTGTCAAGCTGCATGAGCCGGGCGCAAGCCATTGCCGAGCAAGGTCACTCTACATTTCCGGGAAGCACTTTCGCCTGGCAATGCTGTGCTGCAGATCTCCTATGCTGGGGAAATGGGGAAGGACCGTGAGCTGAGTGCTACGTAACTTATATAATATAAAATTTGTTGGATTGGTTATGATTTCTGATTGGTTGAACGTTGGTTGATGCTGGTTGGTTGGGTTGCAATGGGGTACACTGTCCTGGGAAGTGGCTTCATTGGCAAGCTGCAGCATAGCATTTTTTGCCCTCCTTGTGTTGGCATCTTTTGAGATCTATGTTCAGCCACTGTGAGGCTTGCTTTCCAGGCATGAATGGATTGGCAGCTTCCTGAAGACTATTTAAAATTGGGTGTAGTTGATTGCAGGCTTTTTGGCCACTGCTAATCAATTGGTATCATTTGTTCGCTGACACGTGATGCATCTCCTGCCTGCTTCGGTTGAGATAGAGGGTTCTCTTGAAGGACATGGCTGGGCTCTACACTAGCCGCCACTTCGTCGAAGAAGCGGAACAAGTTGTTTTGGTTGAATGAACTTCCCTGAAGTCACCAGCGCAGTCTTGAATTATTTGTCCTTGTGTCTTTCATTCTTGACTAAAGGCTTTGGCAGACCCACTTCCAAAGGCTACGATGTTTGCTTCAGCCGAGTTAGAGGATTCAGCTTTCGGCCACCCACGATATTGCCCGACAGAAAAGAGGCATGTCCTTTAGGCTAGGAATTAGATGTTGGACCCTGTGCGGAGCTCCACCCAACCTTTTTAGTGGGACACAGTGCCAAGGTTGGGCCTCACCACTGGAGTCCCTATTCTGTTGATATCCAATATGGATACATATGCTGTAGATACATATTGAAATTGAACATACCACACACTCCTTAGATCCCCTTATCCAGCCTTGTGATGCTCATCTAGATGACTCCAGTAATTCTACACCGCCCTGGAGAAATCCAAGTGGTTCCAAGTGCCTTATTATGCCTTGAGGTTTGTTCTGGTTTCCGATCCTTTCCACCTGAATCATTTGAGGAATATGTGTTTGACTGAGGATACAAAAGTCGCCGGGGATGGAAGACTTTAGCGCTGACTCAGTTCGAAGCCATTGATGCCCGGCGCATGTTGCCTTGCTGGGACGAGCCAAGCAGAAAAGCCGTCTTTGCTGCGTGGACAGCATCAGGGATATCAGGGGCAGGATTGCGAGTTGGATGGACACGGTAGGGCACAACGGACAGGCGCAAAGGTGAGGCGTTGTATAGATGAACTCTCGCCACAGCTGTCGCGGATGGGTGACCATCTCCGAGAACATCTGTCAAGTCTTGGTGCCAGCAGGTCCACCATGCCGTGCGTGCGGATCTGAGGAGCCTGTCGGCACTGACCAATTGGCAGGTTTTTGAGTCCCAGATCTCCCAAAACTTCGAGTGACCCCCCAGAGGAAAGTGAAGCACCTTGATCAATTTGGACATTATGATGGTACATGATGGGTGCACCCATTATGATGGTACATTTTGTACTTTTGAACATTACCATCATTATATAAAGGGTGCACCTTGTACAATGATGGTACACCCTATAATTTTAGACAATCTTGTGGGGACGTCGCCGCCGAGCCCCCAGCGCGAGCCGCGAGGCCCTCAGCGTGGTGGTGCCAGCGGAGCTTATGGCCGTGTCCAACATGCCGGCCGCCTCCGAGACCACGCTCGAGCGAGGGAAGCGGAGGCGGGTCACGCGGTCCTGGCCGGTGAGTCGCTGTCCGAACGAAGAGCTACACACCAACTGGAGCAAAGCCCTTGTGGAATACAATTGCATGTGGTGTTGCAAGCTTGCAGGGCCAGCTAAACCACGCGGCACCCGTAGATTATATATCTTAGTGGATGCTAGTGGTATAAGCAACTGGTTTTGCCATTTTGCAGCTTTCTGAATTGTGATGTTTTTTGTACTCTTTTGCTGGTTAATTTGAGTGGATCATATCAGTGGTGTGTTGTTCCTTGGCTTCACACTGGTTGCCCCTTCGCGCTAGACACTCCTTGGTGCCAGGATCACATTCCTGGACACACCCAGGACCAGTGCACCGATCACACTTGTGACACTTGGGACGTGTTCATGCAAGACAGTTCGAGAAAAGACACGTTTTTGGTTTTGAGATGATTTGAGTATATAACAGCATAGACGAGATTTCATATTGTGTCAAAAGACATGTCTCTAGACTAGATTTGACCAAATTTGACCCATTTGTTTAAAGAAGTAGCGAACGTACCTTCCCATTGCATCCCGTTCGGAGCTGCAGGATGTCAAGCTACCTCTTGGCCCTGGCCGTGGGGCGTTTTGACACCATTCAGGTCATTGGTTCCCGTCGGTGTCCCGTCGGTTGGCCGCTGGCGCTTTGCTGATCATGTCTATCCGAAAACCCCACAGATGAAGAAAGATGAACGAACAACAAGACAGGAGACTTGAAATAACAGTAACACAAACGGATATCAGGACAGACCAGGCAGGAGTGATGTTATTTCAATGTTTGTCTAGATTGATCCCTTGGCTAAGTCTTTGAGACCTTTGGTGAACACGGTGCGCGCCTTTTATTATGCGAGTGCTGGAAGCTTCTCACGCTCGTAGCTGCAAGTGAACCGATAGCCATCCTAGGCCCCAAGAATATGCAGTTGTGGCCGTTTGCAAAGGTGGTTCTTCCTATAGACCCACCCAATAGATAGAACATGTAAATCACCGAAACCGTGCCACTATCCATTCGGGGACCCCTAGACTAAGTAGCCAGCGCGAGGCGCAGACCGTGAACGGCACCTTGATCCGGGTGTTGACCATGCCCGGCCAAGCAGCCGAACAGCTCAGTTGGATGGGTGGACAACAACACACTTGACCAGCGGCCCACACCTGGCCAGCTTAATTATTAGTGGGTGCCTGCTGACGTGAAACTGTGCATGCTATTTTTACACGGATATTTACGCTTAGTTATACGCATATCTTTACAATTCTTTACATACAGTTATCTTTTCTCTTTGCTTAACCACCGTAGAAACCACCAAGCGTTTATTTTTTGTACGCTAGCGGACCTGTCACGAATCATTGATGAATGATCTGTCCGTTTCCATATATTTTATATATAATAGATACATACAGTTAGATACAGTTTTATATGATCTGTTGCTCAGGTAACTTCCTTCTTAACGGCCTTGATGAAGTATAGGACATCATGAATCCATGAACAATGCATTAGCCGAGCCGCTTCCCACCGCCTCCTGAGGCCCAAGGGACCTTTGCCCTGTCGGTGGCCGCCCGGGCGCTGAGCTACTATGAGGAGCCGCTGTTTTGGGATCCCATGTGCTTCTTTTGGCCGCGCAGTACAACGATTTTGATGCCAGCCTGGTATCGCAGATCATAGGTTTATATAATAGACCTTTGGCGCGTTGTGCCCAGGGTTTCTTCTGTGCAGGAGTACTTCGGTGTGCCCTTCCCGTTGCCCAAGCTGGATATGTTGGCTGCTCCCGATTTCGCCGCTGGAGCCATGGAGAACTGGGGCTTGGTGATCTATCGCGAGGTTGATCTTCTGTGTGACTGAGATGCACGACCGACGAACGGTCTGAAGGGTGGTGGATCCCAAACTGAAGCCACCCATGGCCACAATGATGGAGTGGTTTCCGCGTTTCATGCTCGAGCATCATATTATGGAACATCTCAACCCACAGGGGCTAGATAAACTATCATGAGCTCCGGATGGATGGTCTCATCTAGATTCTCCATGACTTGCCAGTCTCAACAGGAGCACCTCTATTGTCAGCCTGCAGTTTTAGAGGTATGTTGTGTATTGCTTGTTAGCTCTACGCCCAAAGGGTGAATCCTGTTCCAAAATCAGGCAGTCCCGAAGCTAGAAAACCCGGCCGAACGGGACCTGGAGGATGACGATCAGGACCTCCCCCGGGACGACGTCGTAGCCGCTGCGGACGACGTGGCAGGTAACGAGACCACCGTGGGCGTGGCGCGGAAGGTGCGCATTGCCACAGTGGTCACCCACGAGCTCTCGCACATGTGGTGCCTTGGGAGCGGACGCGACCACTGCGGAAGTGACATGACGAAAGTCAATGACGTTACCTTTGGACATGTATTACTGTATTCTCAAGGGCATTCAATGGGAATGTTGTTTTTTTTACTTTTTTTGGTGGGGTTCATTTAAGTGGGAACTTGGCTGAAGCCATCTCAAGATCGACTAGCTTGTTTTTGTTTGGATACTTGGCTGAGGGATTTCAGGCTGTTTGAGTTCAGCTTTTGGGATGCCAATTTGGGAAGCATCTTGATGGTTCTGAAGGGCAAGGGTGCTGAGAAGACAGACACAGAACTCAGTGTGAACTCAGAAGAAATTGACAGCAAAAACTAACGAATTTGTTGGACAACAATACAGTAAAAGCGGAAAAAACAACCTCATCAAATAGAGAGACTTGTCGGATTAGATTCAATAGAAACGACTCGAGCGCACGGCAGTGATCGAAACACTGTTGCTTGATTTTGCTGCAGAACGCATTTGCGGTCACAGGTTCGGAAACTTGGTGACCATGGAATGGTGGGATCAGCTCTGGCTTAATGAAGGCTTTGCCAACTGGATGCAGATTCTTGTCTTGTTGATGCGGGTTCGTGTGGCTTTGCAAAACCTGACGTCATGAAAGCGGTTTGCTTCGTACTTGGAGCACCCTTGCCAGTGGCTACACAACTGCTTGGAGCACCATTTCGATGTCAGACCATGCGGGAGAGTGTGATGTGTAAAATGATGGAATCCAAGGACTCAGGCTGTGGACGTCCTATTTCCAGAATGGCATATCTGGGAGCAGTACGTCAACCTTGGCTTTGCTGAAAGCAACACTTTTGTTTGTTGCAGTTGCTTTTCGCAACATGCTGCAACCTCTCTTGTGAATGAAAAAGGGTACACTAACTAAGCCAAAGTGTGGAACACATCCTCGCCCTGCAGCCCATATTGAAACTCATAGTCACCCAGAATAATTTAAGACAAATATATTTTAAGACCAAACAAGCCCTTGACTGAACAGTAGGATCATGAATCATCTAACAAAAACCCCTCCATGCAGAAGCCAGACTCTCCCAGACAACTTCCACCAGATTCCTCGGCGAGACCTCCTCGCCCAGGTTGTGGAGGAGCAAAGCCGAGCGTTGCAACTGGACGCCTTGCGCAGTTCTCATCCAGTGGAGGTGCCCATCCGCCGAGCCAAGGAGGCCGAGCCGTCTCCGGTCGAACTCCGCCGTTCAACGGGAGCACGGGGTGTGGACGAGGTTTCTCAGTAGGAGTCTTCACTGAGCCCATTTTCCTTATTACAGTATATAATATGTGCATAAACCTTAGTGACTTAGTGTTTCTGCTTTGTTCTTTAGGGTAATTGTGGACATGTCACGCATTGTCACGCTAAGCAATAACACTTCCATTCAGAGAGGATGAATCTAGTGAGTTGCTAGGTGACATGCCTTCAAGGCGGCTACTAAGCATAATAGAATTGATGCTCCTTGAGCTTCAGGATCCCGATGTGATCAAGGTCAGGCTGATGCATCCAGTGCTGATGCATCCAGTATTTGATTTTTGATGTGTACATCTCAAAATGCATAAAGGTATATAATGCGTAAAGCGAGTGTGCAGTGGAAGTGTTTTGCTGGTGCAGCAGCACACACTTCAAGTCTCAATTGATCCCTATGAGGTAACTAACGTTTCACGCCCAAAAGTGGTTTTGAGGATACGAGGTCGAATTTTTCGCATGAATATTCCGAGCTTTCAGGAAACGATAGCTGCCTGTTGTGCTTTCGAGGCGTGTACAGCCAAAGCATCCAAAAAGTTCACCAAAGACATCAGAACAGGTTTACCCCCATCAGCTGGGATCCGGTGCCGCATTAAAACCTTTGTACCCTTACGACGCTGATTCTTCCGCGTCGTTCCCAGTGGCAAACCCAAGGGGACGTTCATCTGCGGATCCGGTGTAATTTCCGCTCCGCGCACCGGGACGGTCGAGATGGAACAGACGCACCGGGCCATAGAAACGACCGAAAGATGCCAAACAAACACATTTACAGTGGTTTCAAGAAGGAAATGGCACAGAACCCAAGATGTCCTTTAGATGCGGGTCCGTAGAAACCACCGACATTGGGGTTTGTGCCATCGAGCCTCTCAATCCGCGACAAAACCACTCCTGGGCTCGGCTGTGTTCTTCGTGCCGGCCTGACGCAAGTTGGGCAGGTGGACGAGGTCTTTGATGCCATTTCCTACTGCAAAGGTGCCGAGTCTCGCCGTGTGGTGTTTTTCACACGCATCAGTTGATTGAGCCATCTATGATGTGTACGTACTCAAAGGATGCTACTGGTAGTCCTTGAGATACTGTAGTTCATATACACATCATACATATATATATATATACATCATACCTACCCACGCTATTTAAGATGGCATTGGGAAAACGCCATTTAAGATAACAAACACCTTCAAAAGCATCGCCAGAACGGGGACACTAAAATGGCACTTGAAAGTGAGGAGTATTGGATGGAGAAGTTTAGATCAATTCGCACAGGGAAATTTGCAGTACACTGAGGTGACATATGCATTTTTCTATGCTCTTTGTTTGTGGTTGTTCTTGGCTTGCTTTTGCACAAAGGGAGCGTTCATTTGTAGAACACACTTCGTTGAGAGGATAAGAAAAGGAAGGACAGGAACCAAAAATGGGGCGCCAGAAAAAACAGGATGGGGAAGGAAAGGGAAGGAACGCAGAGGACAGCAACACAAGGAAGCATGGAGCACACCCAAATGGCATAGAAGTCCATTGCTATTCACGTTTGCCTCAAGGGGACAGGCAGCCTGTGCCTGTCAGGCCTTAGGAGCCCAGCATCGCTGGCATCCCCTCGTTGTCTCCCGTGTGTTGGGGAAACAGGCACAGAGACACAGGGCAAACACAAAAGAACATGAAGCAAGACCAACCATGGAGCACTGACAGGTGGGGGAACACTGCCATCCGGAGCCTGACAGGTGGGGAACCATGGAGGAAAGCTGTTTTTTGCAAGTAATTGGTCTTGGGAACTGTTCACTACATGCTCACAAGAAGTATTTGCGTTCACCTTCAAGATGGCATCTCATATGTTGTTTTTGGTTAACTGGCACTTTTAAGATGGCATGTGAACCTTCTGCTGAACACATGACATTTGCACAGTTACCCCCCCATCCCACCCCAAAGTGGATATGACAAACCTGCGCAAGGTCGTTTGTTTCGCTTGTTCCTCCGATTCGCTCGTTCCGATGGCGGATCGCTCAGGTGGCTCAGTGGTGCGCATGGTCAACGGGGTTTTGGGGAAGGAACTCTTCCGGAAAGGCCTGGGCCTCTACATGCGGCGCTTTGCCTACAGAGCCCCGGCGCATTTCACGGATTTGTCTACATGGGCGTGGCTCACGGTTGAAGAGGGAAGTCCAAAAAATGGCGGGCGGAGTTCTATGGTACAACGATGCAGAATTTGGAATAGATGACACAGTAAAGCCTGCAACCGAAAAAAGGAGCCCAGGTGGTGCCAAGCGAAATTGATGTATCAGAGTCTGATTTCAGCAGGTCCTGACTTGTGCAATGTTCAGTTCAAGAGTAGGAATCATTTCCGTGAAGTATCATGAAGTATATTGACATTTGCCGACAACTGTCAAATCAAGCACGCTGCCAACATGTTAGTAATCCACTTCCTTTGTTTAACTCCGTGTTTTCCAAGCATTTGAACTTGGCCTTCGGCCCCTTTGTGGTCAGCATTCTTCAGAACCCGCGAGGAAACACCGACTCCACAGATCTATGGTCCTGCAACTCGTCATGTTGGTGGGTTGCGCAGCTCTTGTTGGACCAACTTGCTGAAGGTGTGAGTGAAACATAGTGAAGCACACGATTCTTTGGAGGACTTCCTTGCACCCTTGGTGTTGTCAAACATGGCCAAACTCTCACATTAATAACATTCATGCATGTATAAATACGTAGATGTACATAACAGTTAACACCCGCTGAACATGTGAAAAGATAAGCAACCACTATAAAAAGAAACGCAGGTCCCACGTGAAAAGACGAAGTTTGGCGAGAAAACCCTGGGTTTTGATGCTCAGAGTGATTTTTACATGTTTGTGACATAGCACAAAACTCATGCGTTTGGTTTCGAACATGTCATAATGTCATCATGGGCACCTCAGAAACACAATATGTTGATAGAACGAAGGAACACCTTTGCATGTTGGCAGGTTCTTGATTCTCATGGTACGGTATGTCATGGTTTTTTCAGCGACTGAACAAGTGAAAGCTTTTTAACCACTCCCACAAATCACCAGCGACCAGCGGATCTCCAACTTTCTGCCCACTTGTTCTCAAGCCCCCTGTGTTTGCACATGCTTGAGCAAAGAGGACCCAAATGGCAGTGGCCTTTAACAAGCGGACATTTATCATTCACATCCTCGCATCGCCTCAGCCTCCATCCACCTCACGTGCTCTCGCGCGCCTCAACCTCCATCCCACATCCAACAACAGGTTGGGAGGAAGTCTCTGGGATGCCCCTGATGGCCATGATGAGCTCCTGGACGAAGCAGCAGGGCTTCCCCGTCCTGATGGTCAACGAGACGAAGACCAGTCGAGCCTTGGTGAAGAAGCACTTCGGTGTCACCCGATTTCACCAGATGTCGTTTTCGTTTGACCGTCATGAGTTTAGATCTGACCGTCAGTGGAACGGCACAAAAAAGAAAGGGACCACGAAACATGGAGGTTGCAGAAGCCGACCGGGCTGCGCCACTGATGAGCGGCTCAAGAGGGGTCTATGAGTCATGAGCTACTAATACGAGCACCGGTGAGTTTGGAATACTATTTAGGAGATTTCGGCTGGCGAATCCTCTCTCAGGAACTGGCGGGTCCTCCAGGCTCCTTCTCTCTCAGCGGTGGTTCCTGGCCGATGGCAGCGAAGAACCGGAGGAGGGAAACCACAAGAAGCTTTGGCAGATCCCATTGCTACCTGGGCCTGGAGGGACCGACGATCACCTGATCATGGAAAGTCCAGAGATGAGATGGGAAAAGAAGGATCTTTGGCCGAGAAGGTGAAAAGATGTGAAGGCAACGTGTTGAGTGAAAAGATGAGAAAGGGAGCATAATTTGACCGACCACGAAGGCTTTCGACCCTTTCGGTGGTGTCTACTGAAGGCTTGATTGCAGGGCGAGGGATGCAAGACTCCACACCGAATAACAACCGCAAGCCGTCAAGGGAGAAAAACATCTTTGGCACTTTGGCGGCAACCACCTTATCATGACGTGTTACTTGCTAGATCTTGCTACCCTACAAAAAACCAACATGACTCCAGAACAGTGGACCTATAACACGGGGAACCCTGCGCAAAGCCCATCAGTGTGTCAACCATCCAACCCGCCCATACCCTCCATAAGGATGGCTTCCTGAAGTTCAACTTTGGCCAAGTGGCGCCTTACCGAGTGCTCTACGACTCTTCCTTGTATGGATCCTTGAGTCAGGCGCTGCGCAATGGACAGGTGCGCAGCTTGAATTTGGCGGGCTTGCTTTGACTCAAGGGTTGTAGATGTTGTTTTCCTCATTTTTTTCAATAGGGTATGACAATTTGACGAGAAGCCACGTTTTGTCCTGTTTTCCTATGCAGTTTCCTATGTTCTATTTTCCCGAACGACCAGCGGACACACCCATCGCTGTGAGCGACCAAAGCAGACATCGGACCATGTTCCGCGCGGCGCCTTCGGTGAACGGTGTGAGGTGAACGCCCTGGATCGCATTGGTTTGCTCTTGGACGCCTTGGCCTTTGCCAAGCAGGGGAAGCTGCCCATGGCGCAACTCTTGGGCCTGGTGTCAGCCTACAAGGGCGAGAAGAGCACGCATGTGGGAAAGCTGAATGTTGAAGTTCATCCTTTCTGAAGTTTCTGAAGTCATTTCTGTTGGGGCGGATGGGTTTTGCATGCTTCTGTTGTTTTCATCTCAGTTGGCAAATATGAAAAGGTGGAGTTCGGCAGGTTGCAGGTTTGCTGCACTCATCTGCACCCCTGCAGGTCTGGCAAGCCTTGTCAGAGGTGCTTAGCACCCTTCACCGCATGGCCTCGTTCGCGGAGAGCTCTTTTAGTGCATTGACGGATGCGGTGGGCAACGGAATGCTGAGGGATGCGCTGCAGGAGGTCGGTGACCCGGCCATCGGCGTGGCCATGAAGCCATGGTCCAAGAAAGCCAAGCATGGCCATGTGAAGCCAATTGTGGAAGATGCAGTATATTGATTTATTTAGGGAGGGCCATGTAACTTAGTGTTTTTTGTTTTTCGTGGCTTCTGGTTTCTGTGGCTTTTGGCTTTCGTGGCTTCTGTGGTTTTTGTGGCTTTTGGCTTTCGTGGCTTTCGTGGCTTCTGGCTGTTTGCTACTAGTCTATTTTCGAAGGAATGAAGTCCGAGGCACAGCTACCAGATGTTAGACGGTATTGCCTTTATCCAGACGATTGCAACTCACAGACGGCCATGAGATATTCTGTTATTGGAATCCCTTCGGCCTTTGGTGGCTTTTCGCTTTTGATGGCTTTGGCATTCGGTCCACGAAATCTGCACTTCGAGGCCCACAAAGTACTGCGCCTGCCATGAAATCTGCACTTCAAGGCC